TTTTCCTATGGATGCAGTCCTGCAGCAATTACACTTGTGTTCACTTCAGTGGATTTCTATCAATGGCCGTTCTTACGACACCTCTCTTTTCCTCAGCTCACAGATCAGCTCTACTGCATGGGGTTGGCTTTGTCCCAGCTATGCTCTACCTCCAGCAGTTGTGATGGATGAAGGATCCAGACACACAACCCCCTTTCCTGTATTTGGGATATGCCACAATATTCTGGGCAAATTAGGTTTCTTTTTTGGGTTCCCATATGTATCAGCAGGCACCATGAAACCTGAGCTGATTTTGCTCAGATCTGATACCCAGCACTGACAGAAGAGGGTTATGCTGAAGTGCTCTGGACAGTTTTACAGATTGAAAATGCCAGTGCCAGCATGCCTCAGAAGAATCTCAGAAGTTGACTGTTGATACAATTAATCTGTAAATATAGCCAACCACAGCAAAGAAAAAAAGAAAAAAAAAAGGAAAAAAAAAAAAAAAAAAAAAAAAAAAAAAAAAAAGCTGTGAAGGGCAGGAAGGAAGCTGGGAGAAAAAGACCAGATCCAGATAGGCTAAAAAGTCTGGAGTTGATTTTCAGTATTAGAAGTATTGCCTAACAGTTTTGCCAAGACCTCTGCATTCACAGGCCATGCAGGATGATCCAGAGAGTCTGTCAGCTAAAACAATTCCCAAATGCCCTGACACCTCCAACCTGGCAAGTAACCCTGCTGCCTACAGATATTCCTTTTAATATCTGGGGAGTGATGATGATACTGTCCATACAAATACCTACTGGACTTCGTAAATCACATCCAGTAGCAGGTCATTGCTCTGGGGCCCTGTACCAGTGTGTAATCAGAAAGAAGGGAAGCTGGTAAAACACCCATCGTTCAACAATCCAACTAGATTGTCACAAAGTGATGATTAAAACACGGCCCAGATTCCTGCTTTGATGGTCACTTACTCAGGAAAGGAGCAATTCTGAGCCTCTTCAGCCTTTGTTAATACAGGTATTTAGAGTTAGATTCCAGATTTTATCTGCCTATAATGGAGTCAGTGTAGTTTCTAGGAGTATTCAGTGATATTATTTGATGTCACTTAGTTCATTTATCAGAAGGAGCAGTATTTTTGTTCTTAAATTTTAATTTGCCATGGCATCTATGTAAGATTGCCAACTGCCAGGTTTTGTATATATGCTAAAACAATTCTCCTACACTCAGGTCTAAGTCTTAGTAAAATTAAATGGATATTTTGAGCATGTTTTGAGTCACTTCTGATTATTTAAAACCTTGGTTTGTATCACCAGACAAAAACATCCTAAAAGTAGTCAAGAAATATATAATAATTACTTTTTTAAAACCTGCAATTGACAGTGACATTTAACCAATTTTCCAGAGCTGCAATTTGACAAGTATGTAATTACATCTACCAGTAATAACCACAGACATAAATAAAAAAAGGCAAATTGAGGCTGACCTTTCTTAATTGAACTTCACAATCAATTATCCATTGTCTGTATATTATTTACAATCAAGAAACAATGTATAATAATCTTCTATGATTACATCCTATTTTTCTAAATGAAAATGATATCATGGGTGGTTTAGTTTCTTAGTTGTTTAGTCTAAAGGGACTGCTCACTTCTCATCACCTTCACTCCTGCTAGGCCAGGTGGGAAACCCGGGAGACCTGAGATGGCTTTAGACCCATGTACTTCAGACCATGGCCCCCATCTCTTGTGATGAGAATGACAACACTCAGCTTTCCTCTTTAGTTCAAGTAGAAACAATGAATGTGCTTTATGCCTGAAAACAGCTAAATATATACAAATATATAGCTAAATATATATAAAAAGTGCTACTTAAAAATACATGAGAACAGTTATTAAGGCAACCTATGATGGAACACTTACTTATCTCCAAGAAGAGTTTCCACTTCCAATGGAGAAGTATAACTTGCCTCCCTAATTTGTTTTCCCCACAGACCTTTTTCTTCCATCCCCAGGTTTATTCTAGCAATTAATGAAGTAATTATAAGTCTTTCTATTGATTTCAGTAGCCTCCAGTAGAAGACTCCAGCCCTTGCTCTGGGAGCTGCTTTCAGTTCTCTTGGCTAAAAGGAATTTGTTAGCTGTGCAGCATTACGCATTAATTTATACCACCAGGTCTGACAGTCTGCCTGGGAGGCAGAAAGGCTGTAATTTAATATTTGAAGGTATATTATGTTCATTAAGTGATATGTGTACATTACCTGACTGTAGACGTTAACAGAAATTAATTTTCATGTAACAGAGTGCAGTATAAACTAATGAGAAATAAAGGAATGCTGGTAACCACACAGTAACAAAATATTCTCACATCCACATGTGTCCCCTGAGAATTGTTACCTCATGCCCTGCCTGATAGAGGTCTGCCAACAGCGGGTTTTGTTGTCTGAGGTGACTCACCTGGAATTAGTTAATGCTTCCAAGTGAAGCCAAGGAATATGTTAAAGAGCTCAGTGGTACAGTAAATCCTTACACTAGATTTACAGTATTGGCATGACATTTAACTTTAGTATCTGTGATGTTTTTCCACATTAGGTATGAAAAATTACTGAGAGGTTACAATTGTACTCTAGGACATGCCTATACTGCAACTAAAACCTCTTTTTCCTCCTCTAACTCCAAAGCCAAAATGACTTTGTCTTCTGTACTGATCCACCAATACCTCAGGATAAACATGTATATTTAAAATTTTATTCTGTAATATGCAAATTGGCACACCACATTAAAAAAACTTACTGGAATTACACAAAAGTAAATGAAAGAACAAAAGATTCCTATAAAGCAGATTGCCATTCCTAATAGATATCAAACACCCGACTTCTTCATGGCATGTTTACTCCTCCTTTAGTGTATGCTCCTTAGGACAGATGATTTCTTATGGCAGCAAGTTCTGTAAAAATTTATATGTCATAAATTTAGGCAAAAAGCACTGGAAAAAATGCCTGGGCCTAAAGTCAGTTGAAACACAAAGGAATATTTAGACTCAAGATTCTTTGGATCAGTACATGAGTGCAAACCACCTTTTGTAAAAAAAAATTTAGAAAACTAATGTGCTGAAAAAGAAAATAGGAATATCCTGTGACTCATTTCCTTCCTTATATTATTCACCTGCCGAAGTATGTATCTATATAGACATAGATATATCTAGAACCTTTTCGTTCATATTGAGACATCACAGTTTTCTCAGTATCCTTCATACTCTTCCCTGTTTTGCCATTGCCTCCAATGACCTATTTCTGTCCATTTTTAAGAGACCAATTAATCCAACTGCACCTCCTGTAACACCAGGTCTTCACAAATGTATTATAGTGACTCTGAAATTCCTGATTCCTCTCACCTTTGTTTGAGATCCAGGCTTTCCAAAGGCAAGTCCACGTTTTCACATCAGAAAAACAGACTGCTCCTTGGATGTACTTAGGCTTCATGCACCAAAAGCAAATATTTGGCAGTGCCTTGGAAATTATACTCCACCTTATAAACGTGGAATGGATTTTTCTACAATGTCAGCAGGAACTCACATTTTTAGCAGCTTTGTGCTCCACTGGCCCTCAAGAAGAAAATGTCCAGGTTTTAGCAATAAGCACAATTAATGCATATTCCCTAATTATAATTTCCATAATACCTGAAGTAATATACCTTTGTGTAGGCTTAAAAGCATGTGCCATAGAAAGCATTTAACTTCCACCCACACTTGTGTGTGTATCATCCACATGACTGAATGCATTGAACAGAAAAGCACCAATGAAAAACTACCCAACAAATAACCTTCTAACCACCTACATGTATAATCATTTACTGTATAATAACTTGATGCAAACTTAAGCACAGCCAATCTTACATAAACCTTCAAATCCCTGCATGTGGGATCTGAGGATTCTCTGACCCTCATAGGTAATTTTATCAAGCAGTGAGAATTTTCAGAACTTTCCTCAAAATAAAACTACAAAATCTAACTGAATTACAGAAGCAAAAGTCAGTAAAACACTAAGATAGAGTCTAAATATTACAGAATTATTTATATTTTCCCCTGGCTTTTTTTTTTTTTTAATTATTATTATTTGAAGAGATTTCACCTGATATAAAGTAGAATTTGTTCTTTTTAGTCTGGAGCAGAACAAGACATTACCTATTCAACAACAACAAGAAAGAAGCATCTCCAGTGCCAGGGTTTATCTGCTAGTTATCATGGAGGGCCCTGATGCCGGTGGAATGTGAGCGGAGGTCCTGCCACTTTGACCACACTGCTTTTCCAAATCTCGTCCCAAATGGAAACAAAAACTAGTTATGACATCAGAAACCCGATTAATTGCGAATGGCATTCTGAGCCTGCTGCTAGTGACCTAATGACTGGGAATTGCCCTGGAGGTTTAAAGTCTCATGTCCTTCCCAGGGTGGCAGTCACAGATATAACAAACCTGTCCAGTTAAATTACATTAGCCAACCACTGTTGGCAAATGTGGGCATCACATAGGGCCTGCACATTGTTTGGCACAGACAAGCACACTCAGCCTGGCATCTGAAGATGCTGACAAATTTCCAGCCCCTGGTGCAGATGGTGGCAGCTCGAGAGCGCTAATTACCGATGACATTAATGATGCGGTAACCTGTCTCTCTTCAGCTAATAAACACATGGAATATGTTTCCTATTAATTTTTTCCCCAGATAACAAATTGTTTCTTAGATAACAAATTGCGGCTTTAATGATGGAGAGCAACAAAACCAAATTAACTGTTCTTTGGAAAAATTTGTTTTCCGCTAATTGCTTTAAACAATCAATAAGAGAATTACAACTGGCATCCCCCACTGAGAAGAGAAGCAGAGGAGTCAAAGTCAATTAGCTTCCTGCAGTACGATGCACTCAGATGGAAAGAGTCATTACAAAAAAGTGTAAAAGTCAAACTATAAAGTGTGCAGCTTGAGGAACAAAGCAGGCTCAGATAAAAAGCCTAACAGAGGGCTTTTACATACCTGTGAATTGTTCATGTATCACTGCAGTTTCCAGTTTTCCTTTAGATGCTTCCATGAAAGGATAAAAGACAAGGTAAGAGGGCATCTGTGGATCTTGGGAGCTCAGGGAGGCTGTAAGTCTTCAGAAGTCATGACCAAGAAACATCTCATCTACAGAATAAAAGGAGCAGATAATCAGCTCTGTTTTCTGTCTTACTATAAAAATGATAAATATGGAAAAGCCAAGAACTCCATGGGGGCTAATGAAATATTCTACAGGTGGCAGTGTTAGGTTTACAAGTGGACTCAGTGATGTTAGGGGTCTTTTCCAATCTAAATTATTCTATGACCATACATATCAGAAAAAAATTCAAGCACATAAGACTGACCTATTCTGCTGGAATGAGTTCTCACTGCTGTTTTATTCCATTTTCCTCAAAAGCATGGAGTTTTTGATGTGCTTTTATTTTTTAGACATTATTCACACATTATTTGGTAGTTTTAGTGCATTCAATTAGAAGGAAAGATTTTAACACACTTTGTGCTGGACATAACTCACTTCATGTGTTGGAAGACTCAAGTCCCCATTATGTTACATAAATTCCTTGTACCCTACAGTGAAAAAAATATATATTTTGCCCTTGAAAACTGAAATCATAGAGCTCTAAATGAGCCCCTGACTGATTTAACTTCTCTTCTGGGCCAAGTTCCTCACTATTAGTAAGGAGTGGCTCTGGCACAAGCTACTTGAATGACAGTGCTTGTCTCCCTCAGGCTTTTCCATCAGGACATTTTCCTGCACAATTTCCCTACAGCAATGTCCCCAGTTTTATACAGGGTAAAAATCGCTGGCCACCCAAGATCTTAATCAACTGAGCAATGTTTTCAGCAGTGATGTAATGCTGTTTTTGCAAACACATTATCTTCCCACTTTCTACTTTATGCGGTGGCACACAAAGGAGTCTGCTCACTTTTGCACGCAAAGGCATCCAAAACTTCTGTTTAAGGCGACCTACCACTGCTTTTCCATGAGTTATCAGAAACAACACAGCCAGCCTATTGAGAAGTGAATAACAATGAATGGCTGTTCAGGGCTGGGAAAGGTTTACACACATCCTCACTGCTCTCTTTATTCAGAGCTTGTAAATAACAACAGTGCACCAGCCCTACAGCCACTCATTCAGCACCATGTTGTGACTCCCTCTGCTACTTTCTACTTGCCCCAAGCAAAGTCAAGTTCAAGTGACCTTTTTTGACCACTTTATACAAAACTGGCGTGTGACCTCAGTACAAAGCAGTACCTACCTTGTACAAAGTGGATAGTACAGTTTGCTGCCCATCAGATTCCTGTGACGGGGCTTATGGTGGTTTGCCTATACACTGATGACTAATTAAGATTGTTGGAAGGGAAAACAAACGTTTTGTTTTGCTGCAAAAAACTACTAATTCAGAGACTATTCTGTTGCAAAGCAGGAAAAGGAATTTTAAAAAAAATACCATATTTAACAGTTCTCAGCTCTTCTCCCTGGCCAGGATTCTTGTGGAATGAAGGCAACATTCCTCCACAAATGTATGCATAACAACAGTAAGTTAAGCCACCTGTATAACACGGTCCATTTTCCTCTGCAAAAGAGAGCATGTGGTGCTTGGAACAGAAATTCGATACAGGAGGAAACATCTCTCATACAGACTCTTGTTTACAAAGCCACTGACAAAATTTTAAATATTGCTCCAAATGCCTTGCTTACTTTTCCAGCAGAAATGTTTTTTTTCCTGTGCTAACACAAGACAGATTTCCGTGGAATGCCAGCTGAGTGCTAACATTTGCTCTTTACAACATATCCTGCTACAGATGAGACCAAATTCTGCTTTCCTTCTCATTTTGGCAACTACTGTATAAGTAATAGTTGCATTGTGTCATTCTAAATCACAAGTTTTGCTTATAATTTTTAGCATCTATCTCATGTTAGACAGCTTTTCTTTCTTAACACTGCAATCTTCATACTTTATTTACAGATACACAGGGTGGGTTTCCAACAAAACTTACGTTAGTTCTCACGATGCAACTTTTCTTCTTCCTTCACACATGCGAAGTGTTTACACAAATTAAAGGAAATCTCTCCTCATACTTTTTGCTCATCTGGGTCGCCTGAGATGGGCTGTGCAAAATGAAATTCCTACAAACTGAACTCCAGTTCATCCCTCTTCCTGCACTCTGCTTCACACTTCGCTATGCACACAATGTGGTAATTGCTTTTGCTTGACTTGTTCAAACAGCCATTTTCATGATGTGACAGCCAGGGCACTAATATATTTATGCCCTTTGTAATCGGCCAGCACTGCTTGTAATTAGGTGCAAAGTTAATTAAGTGCAATACATCTAATAACTGCCTGCCAGTAACTGTAAAGTCTGATTTAGCACATGAACTGTCAAGGTGTCAGAATGGTGTGCTAAAAAATAAGTTGCTAACAGAGAAAAATCCTACTACAAGCCAGAGAAAGACACAGTGACAGTGAGTGAGCTGAGGAAAGGAAAAGCTAAGTCAAACCTTAATATTTCCAACAATGGGACATGACCCACCTGCATGCTGATAAGTTGGGACAATGGGACAATAAATTCAAGTATTCTTTTATTTACCAGCCACTGTCTTCTCCTATAGACAACCCTTCCCTTAAAGAGCTATACATATGGCATAGAACTTTTTAAAGTCTGGAAGTAATAATAAAAGAACAGATTTGATTTTTAATAATGCATAAAAAGGGTTATAAGCCAGAAGATCTCATTTCATGTTCACAGACCTAGTTTTGTTTCTTTTATTGCACAAAACACAGCTTTTCTTCTACTGAACCTAAGAGAAAATTCCATCTTCTTCTTCTTTCTCTAACTTTGATTTGCTCAAATCCATCACCATTTGGTATGAGATGCAAAATGCTCTTTTCCTCACATTAAGCATTCAGGGCAGCTGCAGAAGGAAAGTGTAGCTAGTCAGCAGGGGCAGAAATAAAAACCCAACAAGCAAGAGACATAAATTCTCAACAGAGAATAATGCAGGATGAGCTGTACATCAGGTTAGAAGTTCCAGGAAGCACAACTGATGAGCTGCACATGTACCACAGCAGCCCAGGGTACCTGCAGAGTTCAATAATAATTCGATGATTAGCACACACAGAGATGGATGAAGCTCACAACGTTTCCTGTAAGATAGGAAGGACAGCATGGGCAATGTTCTGAAGCTATTTTAGGCCAGTAGATGCAAATAAATTGATGGAATTTGTATATACAGAGGATAGCGCAAAAACCTTCAGAGATCACCAAAGTTCAAGGGCAACATTTCTACCTCCAAAGCAGTCCCCAGTTAAGCTCTCTTTTTAAAATACTTGACAGAAATCCATGCCAGAGAAGTCAATCTTGGTGGTTTGTTATTATGAACTGATATCTGATCAGGGAAATTATGCTCTGGATTGACATGAAATTAATAATGCTTGTTGTGTGTTGCCCAATGACAAAGGTAAATGCTAATTGCTCTGAAATCCTAATGAATGCCAAAGTACTCGCTCGAGCTTTGATTAGTGCTTGTGTTGTGCAATTATGCATTTCTATAATTACTGTGAATTACCATCATGATATTATTATTCTCATATTTTCTATTCCTCTGAAATTCTCAAAATTTCCTGCAGCTAAAAATGGATTTCATTTGCATTATCACAAGCTTTGATTGTTTAATGAAAAATAATTCCATGCAGACTCTCATGTTAAATTGTCCATTTAAAATTTTCCTGTTATCTAGATTATGTTGAAGTGTCCTTTCTTTAATTTATCATTTCCCTCTATTATCACAGTCACTGCCCTCACTTCATGCTACATTACAAAGAGAAAGAAAACATTAAAGACATTTTTACTCATATCCTCATCTTTTGCCTGGAAGCTCTTTCCTCTGCAAGTTCTCCCTTTTCCATAAAATTCTTTATTTGGAAAGCTTAAAACGAAAAGAGAAAGGAAAAGAAAAAAAGCTTACTTGTCAGGAAAATGTGGTAGCTATGCTAAAAAACCAATATTTTTTTTGTTTCTGATTGCACTACGGTCTGCAGGATACCTTGGACTTGCATGCCAAAGTGAGTGCAGTACCAGAACCAGGAAAATCCATTTGAAAGTTATGTTTTTCAGTCTCTCACCATGATTTTGCTGCCTGCAAATTAAAATAATCCATTGTAGTATTTATACTAAGAGCAAGTCAGTTATTTTTCAAGTCGATTTTGAGCAATTTTCCGATGTATTGAGAAATGATGGACTAGAATAACTAGATAACTAAATTTATATTATGTGTTTCACTAGACACAAAATATTATTTTTTTTTGTCTCCCTTATTTCTTTCCAACCTTTTCCAACTGCTTCCATTTTCACCTCATATATGCATCTGATTTTCCTCTCACGTACACAATTCTCCTATGCAAAGTGTTAATAGAACACGTGTGCTCACAATTTCACACTTGCAATATTCAAATAGCTTCCAAGCTAGTCAGAGGAAATTTGACCATGTCCATATGTACACTTAAGGAGATGAAAGCCTGGATCAGATGAAGGAAAACGACTTCTTTTTAAAAACCAAAAATCTTATATGGGTTATTTATGCTTTAATGATTTTTTTTTTTTTTAATTTTCACCATGGATAAAAACAAATGGAAATACTTCATCTCTAACTTTATCATCATGTGGGGGAAATTGAGCCCACATTGAGCATCTGCAGATTGCATCTTTCAAGGCAGTGCTGCACCAGGAGGATTTCATAAGAACAGCTAAAGAATGTTGGGTGTCAAAGCAGGGATGCACACTCATGAAACCACGGCCTCTTTTCCTCTGTTTGTCAGCATCACCAACCTGTTCCCATTGCTTCCTACAGGGATCACCATCCCAGTGGGCTGTGCAGATGTCCTGACAGTGACACACAATCCTCTCTGACCCTGCAATAAATCCCAGTTCTGGGTCCAAGGCAATAGGCATGGCCGTGACGCTGATCACAAAACTGGCATCTTGCACACTCTAAGTCACAAGGAATGAAGCAAGGCTGTTATTTTTAGGTACCAGAACAAGGGCCCATAAACAAGATGGAACAAGATAGGGATCAGGGATGAGACACTGCCCTTGCCAGTGATCCAACCTTCTGCAACTGGAACCACTATAAATGGAAATTATTAGAAAAGCTCCCACCCATACTTCATGGAAACTTCTACTCTGCCACCCACATGGTCACTGCCCAGTCTTACCCCTCATACAGGAAGGTCAGCAGAGATTCTGCACATTTCAAAATTGTTATTTTATGTTACAGATCATCTTCAAGGGCCTAGGAGAGGAGCTAATCCTACACACATGTGCCTCTGGTGAGATGGCAACTGTCCCTGGCCAAGGAATTAACACCCCTTTTAAAGTTATCCTCTTTATTCTGAGCTTCCAACTAACAAATCAAATCCAGCACTTAGCAATGCATGTTTCACATCACCAAAAGCCCTTTCAGATCTTGAAGCTGTACACACTGTCTGCTGGAATGACCCCAGGCACTCTGTGACAATTGAATTATAAGCAGTGACACCCTCTTTCCCACCCCACTGCACCGAGTTACCTCCACTGGTTACAGAGAAGACTCCACATGCTTTCACACTGCCAGCAATATGCTGGACAACAGCAGGAACATATTATTAAATATTTCTTTTATCTTCACTTACAATAGCCACAGATTTAACCAGCCCACAAATATTTTCCATTAGAGTATTGCAGCCACAAGGTTTCAAGCCTTGGAGACCAAAGGGGTTTTAGGTGGTTATAACTCTCCAGTCGCTTTTATCTGGCCCAATCCATATTATCCACAAAACCTTGAAGAAAATAGCCAGTCACAAGGCACAGCACAAGATGAATTGCACAGAGGCATCAGGGCTGCTCTGTTCCCTGCTAGATCTCCAAGATATCACATGTTGACCTTTCACTACAGTTTAGATTTTGTTTGAGGATGTCAGAAATATTTCCTGTGATTGGAAAGACTACAGCCAGTGAGCTGGGTGGTCCTCTGCAGTTCGAGGCTTTCTGGTCTCTGAGGAAGTGACTGAGTTAATCCATCACTGAATTCAGTGGCCTGAGCAGTCCTACTACTTCACTATCACTGCAGTGTGGAGGGGTTTCCTTTCTGGATGACCTGGACTGGCATTGAGGCTGGATCCTGCCAGTAAATAAATATTTGTCTGGCTTTTAAAATTATCTTTGCATTAGTTTGTGCAATGCTTTACCTGTATGCAGGAAGCACTTTACTTCCCTCTGGATGGTCTCCAGAGAATGGAAGAGCAGCCTGAATGCAGAGATGTAAAGAAATTACACAGAGTGCTGCATCCAAATCCCTTCAAACATGGAAATGGTCTGATGGGTTCATATCCATTAGCACATGGTTATTCCATTTATAAATTCTTTTCAATCTACCTGGCAATGGCTAATGCAGTGACTCTGAACTGCATTGGGGATTTTGAAGAGAGAGATCTAGTCCAGGATCTGCTGCTTAGCTTATATACAGTCTTGGACTAAGCACCTTCCTCCCTTGGTTACTATTTTCAATTCCTAAGTACCAAGTCATTTAAGCACAGGAAGCTGTACAAAAAAAAAAAAAAAAAGTCATTATTATTAAAGGATACCTTTCTTTTCAAACTCCACTGCAGGAAAGTTTTAAAACTGTG